CCCCCCCCCCCCCCCCCCCTAATATATATATATATATATATACCTTTTTAGTTTTATGTTTTCATACATTTTGTGAAGAAGAAATCGACAAAAAAAAGTTGCTTATTTTGATTTTCTTCTCCGTGGTTGTACAGAACAAATCACTATCAATTTCAGTGAAGCGCATAAACAGTAAAATATTATATTTTATTTTCATTTCTTGGGAGCATCGAAAAAGATATGTTAATTAATATGATTTCAAATCATTTTAGTTTCAAACACAAATAGGAATTAGAAAACATTTCTTCCTTTTAAAATTATTGAATTTGGAATTATTTCTTACCAAGTACATGCGCCCAAATAAAACATGAATGAATTTCTTATGTTTTACGTGGGAATGTGCTTCGATGGAGGCCCTAAACAATGAAAAGACTTTTGGAATCTTAGTATTGAAAGGTTGAACTGTTTGTAGAGGGTAGAAGGAGTAGGGTGGAAAGACTTTTGCCTATTAGAAGGGGGTAGGTTCAACTTATGGCAAGCAGTGTTATCTAAGCATACTCACATACTTTACATCTATCTTTCATATCCTGAAAAAGTGGATCTGTTTTTAGCGAGAGTGGAACTTTTTTTGTGCGAAGGCAATAAAGAAAGAAGGTTGTTTCAGCTAGTGAACTGGAATATCATCTTACAACCCTCGGAAAGAGGCTGTATTTTTGTTGGTAACATAAGGAAAATAAGGAAAATACCGAACGAATGGCTTTGTAAGTTTCTATGTGAAACTAACTAGTGAGTTATGGCTTCAAATTAGTAGCTAGCAGTCATGGGAAAATGGATGGTTAGTTTACCAAAAGAAGAATATCAGGTAGCAATAGGACCCCATGGTGGATTACAGCAAGTTGAGTGAGAGTTTGGAGCAATTGGCCACCACAATCAATGTCTGAATGGTGAGAGAAAGAATCCCCTTTTGAATAATTCATGGGTCAATTGATCTCTCTGCAGCAACTTTCCAAGTCTTGGAAAAGGATGCAATAGTGGAGGAACTGTGCAAGGAAAGTACCAATCCATGGACGATTTTTTCCAGAAGCAACCTACATGATATTGATGAGCTGGGCGAGTTTCTTAAGTTCCTTCGCTTGGTGCAAGATGGTAGCTAACAAGGTTGCAAGATAAACAAACAAGTTTAGAGGGTTGAGAAATCGGGTACCTTGGTTAAATCTACCTCCAATGAACTACTAGGCTTGTCTTCGGTTCATAATAAGGAACTTGTATCTGTTTTATGAAATACAAAATGCCAATGTCAAATTTCTGATCTAGACTCGGTGTGGAAACTCAAGACCATATTTTCTTTCAATGCATGACAGTTGTATCATTTCCATGAGGACTGGAATTCTTATTTGGAATGGAGTTTAAAGTTCTCTTTGTTGAAACATGAACTCGTGCATAAATATCTCATGCATTTACTGGAATTTTCACTAGAAATGGTGATGTTGTAGGTTTTTAGAGGGCAATCTTGATCCTTTTCAATTTAAGAAGTGTACTTTTTAGGCGTATCTTCTCCGTCAGGGAGTTCATTTGTGGTAAACTTGGAAAGGAGATGTTAATTTGATAACTTCAATTCTTCCTAGTTCGATGGGCAATGAGGATTTCATTTAGCATATCTGGTCCTCACGTTTTAGAGCCTCTGTATTTGCGGAACATAGCATCTTTAAGGCATTGAAACCTTCGATTTGATAAGAATTTTTGAGAGAGCTTGCATTTAATTTTTATTTGAACATCAGACTTTCTCTCTCTTTATTGGCCTATTATTCTCTTGTATGCAGGTTGAGGGACCAAAAACTGCTGAAGAAATGCTAGTGATTCTACAAAGAGTTCTGGAAGAAAGTGCTCCCATTCTGGTTTCTGCAAGGATCGATGCAGAAGAAAGAAGAAATAACATGCGATTGAGGGAGGAACAAGATGCTGCTTACAGAGCAGCACTTGAAGCAGATCAAGTATGCTACTTTCTGACTTCGCTTTCTTGTCGGTCTGAATTTCATAATTTTCTCGTCCTTCCAATCGCGTTCCTAACTGGAGTTTTCATTTGGTCTCTTCAAGTTTTATGTTAATCATCTAATCTCCTATGGGGTTTTATTAGGCCAGGGAACGACAAAGAAGGGAGGAGCAAGAGCGTCTGGAAAGGGAAGCTGCTGAAGCTGAGAGAAAAAGGAAAGAGGAAGAAGAGGCTCGTGAGAGAGCTGTTCGTGAAGCGGCAGAAAGAGAGGCTGCTTTAGCTAGAATGCGCCAAGAGAAAGCAATGTCACTTGGCGCCGAACCTGAAAAGGGGCCTAATGTTACACAAGTAATGCCCTATATTTCAACTTATTTTCGTCATCGAATGATATTTTCCTGCCATCTTTCTAAACCAACCAGCAGGATAGTTGTCCTCTTTTTTAATAACAAGAAGGTAAAGAGGGGCTACCTATTAGGATATTTGTAAAGAGCCTCGTTTGATCTTCGCCGATGACGAAAGAACCTAATCAATCTTCATGAAAACTTCAATTTACCAGGTATTGGTGCGGTTCCCTACTGGAGAACGCAAGGAAAGGAGATTTCACAGTACCGCTTCGATCAAAACTCTCTACGACTTTGTCGACTCCTTGGGTTGTCTGGACATTGATAGTTATAATCTGGTCTCAAACTTCCCTCGAGTTGTTTATGGCACCGAGAAGCTCTCAATGCCCTTGAAAGAAGCTGGACTGCATCCTCAGGCCAGTCTTTTTGTGGAGCTAACTTCGTGAAAGCTCCAACTAGTAGTAGAATGGTCGAATGTAGTTGAAGATGAAACGTGTGAGTACAAGATTTAGAGTTTGTTTTTTCAATGACAGTACTAACGTTTCAGGTTTATAGTAGATGCATATTCAGTATAAATTATAATGGTGGATGGAGGTTGGAATATTGGTTTGATATCAGTTGTTCATAATGTTTGCTTTTGGTGGTCTTAAAGAGAAATAAATCGTAATCTAACCTTATTTGTCTAATTGATTCAATCTGGTAAAACTCCATTGTTGCCTTCATATGGCAACAAGCGGTGAGGGTTTAATGTGGGGCAAAACATATTACTTTGTGTTCTTCAAATGAACCTCTTAGTGTTGAGAGTGTCCGTAAAGAAACTAGATATTATGACTATACTACCAATTGAGACGATCTTATTTGAGCTTTTTCTTTTATAGGCTTGCTCTCAAAATTTTAAAACGCATCTCACAATCTACCCCTTGGGGCTCAACCGTCCCTCGACTTCCCCTTTTAAGGAATGTTTTGTTCCCCTCTCTCTCCGATTTGTTATCTCACAATCCACCCCTTTGGAGGTCCAACATTCTCGAACTTCCCCTTATAAGGAATGTTTTATGTTCCCATCTCCAATAGATGTGAAATCTCACAATCCACTTCTACTAGAGGCCAACATTCTCACTAGTATATCGTTCGGTGTCCAGCTCTAATATTATTAATTTGTTATATAGGTTGTACAGTTATGTCCTTGAATTCTAAGCAAACAAGAATTGAAGTCTGGTAGATGGAACCGCTGCCCTTCGACTAGTGTTATTAACGGCTCAACAGACCTTAGTCCTGCAGTTGTGGAGGATCGTTCTCGGTAGGGTATCTTGTTGGGATGGTTGCATCTGGCAGAGTTCAAAAACTTTAATTTGTATCCGTCCAAATCCACCGCTAGTAGATGTTATCCGTTATCAATATATTTATGATATTTCCAGTCTCAAATACTTTTGCTTATACATCAATTTTATTCCATTAATTTTGAGGGTTAATAAGAATGAAAAATATAATTGGTGGAAATTAATGTGAAACTTTTCTTATAAAGGCTATATGCTTCTAGAGATTAAAACGTTATTTTCCTAAATTTTTTAGTCTCCTTTCAATAATATATATAATTTTTTAATGCCGAATTAGTAATTTAATATTAAATAAATATGCAACATTTAACTTAATTAAATTAAAAAATATACTAAATTCTCAATTAAAAATTAAAAAAATATATATATATATATATATGTCAGCTAAATCGTACTAATCTTTTATTGTCAAGCCATCCCAAACAGATTCTTAAACTAATCCTTTGTTTATTCAAACTTTAATTCAAAGACAAATCTAACTTTTCTTTTTTTAATAAAAAAAATCTCATGTTTGACCCAACAATAACACGTGCATAATTCCTACAAACATTTTAAATTTAATAATCTAATTTATATATTTTCAAATGCGTAGAACATTTAATCAGCTATAACACACAATCATTTTTGGAAATATTAGATCTTTTTTTTTTACGAAAATGTATTATTAAAGTACAAAATACTTAAATAAATATTAGGTAGCAAAATTTAACAATTAAATAAATAAACAAAGACATTTTAAGGTATCCAATTGGTTTTTAAGGTATGAAAATAATATATATTTTGTGACGGAAAGTTTCAAACCATTTTTTAAAATAAAAAACATAAAGTTTCAAACCAAAAAAATTTAGAATTATCCACACAGATAAAATAGACATAAATTGCGATCCAAAATAGTAAATGGAAACCCCAAATAGATAAATATATAAAAGAAGAAAAGAAATAAAATGAGATTTCTATAAATAATCAACCGCCAAAATCGACCACAAAAAGAACTAAATTCAGGGTTTCATTTCCATTCAAGGATGTTGACACCCTAAATTCAGCGTTTCATTTTTAATCGGATATAACAGATTTAAGATTTCATTATCAATACCCTATTTTTTACTCAATTTGATCCAGCAAAAGTAGTTTTGTTATGGGGATGTTTATATGGCCGACCCTGCTTTTCCCTTGATCATCATGTGTCCGAATTTCGTTCATCCAATTTATTCTTACGAATTTCCATCCGCTATGGAATTGTTCATGGGTCGCCAATTTCACTTTCAATCTGCATTTGATGTGGCTTCCGAGGCCTTTTCTGAATACCTTTCTCGTTTGATCGTCGTTATCTGACCCTTGGCTCTTTGAGCACAGGCTTTTTATCTCTTTTTCTTTTTTCGCGATTTTTGTTTCTATTTCTTCGTCTTTCTGCGTTGCGATGAGTTGCGGTTCGGATTTGATGTCTGGGAATTCTGAGGCTGATGATTTTGATATTTTAGACAAGGATCCAACTGGACGATATATACGGGTATTTGTTTTCTGTTTCTTCTTCGATTTTGGATGTTTTGATTTGTATCTACCGCTTGTTGTTCTTCAGCTAATTACCCTAGCGTTTCTTTACATTTTACCCGGGTGTTTAATTACTCTATTTTGAAATCTGGATTGAGTGATCTTAATTTTGGGATTCACTGCTGATTTTGTGAGGGGAGGAGGAGAAATTTTGGGCATAACCACCAAACTTCTTATTATTTTGGTTTAACGATCGACTACTAATGTTTTAAATTTTTCTTTCCTTTTTGCTTCATAGTTGAGATGTTCTTATTCTATTTGGCGTATGATTTAATCCTCGTTTTTCATATATATATTTTTCAGTACGATGAGATCTTGGGTAAAGGGGCATTCAAGACAGTGTATGCTTCTGCTGTCTATCAATCTCAGTTCTTTTGTTACTTTTTTTTTTTTTTTTTTTTTTTTTTTTTTTTTTTTTTTTTTTTTTTTTTTTTTTTTTTTTTTTTTTTTTTTTTT